TGATTTGTATGGACTACGCAATATCAATAATGATTGTGATGAAATCATAATAATAAGACACTGACTTTAAACATGGCTCGTAAATCTCTCCAGTAATAGAAAACAATATGAATAACACCATTTTATTTGGATAGGCTAGTACAGATTATTCTAATCATGGAAAGTGTTTGATATAATTAAATACAAGCATAATGGACATGAAGCCATTTCATGTAAGTACATGTCACGTAAATAAGTTAACTTAATTTACTCAATCCTAGATTCTTCTATGGAAATTTTGCTGCAAGTCACAACATCATAAAAATATACCTATGAATGCCAAGCTTATAAAGATATCACCATAAAAATAAACTCATCATCAAGTTCAAATTTTTTTTATGGGCATATATCCCTTATATAATGATGAAGGAAAGCTAAAAGTGAAAGAAGAGAATTTTCTTATGATTGCACAACGGTTTAGAGTGTGGATCGAAAAGAAACGAAAACATAGTCACATCTAAAGATATCGAAAAAAGGTCCAACCTATATAATGTCTGCATGAGCAGAGGCAAAACAATTGTTAACAAGGATGTTCAGAAATTAGAGTTAGTAGTGTAAATATTTCTGTTGGTTTGCAGAGCATAGTTTAATGCCTTGTGTATTTTAGTTGTTTTCAATTTTAGTCCTTGTGATTTTTTTATGCGAATTCAGTACTTGTAGTTCATAGTTTGTCATTTTACATAAACTATTAGTTTTAAAAAAATAGTTGATGAATGACAAATTAGGGTTAATTCGTTTACTAAGGAATTTGGAGATACTAACCTAGATATTATACTTTAGAAATTTGAAATTTTAAACATCATACTTAATGATTTGATTGCATCATACAACTAGAAAACTGAGAAACTTTCAAAGTATTTTATTAAATAATTGAACTATGTCTCAAAAGTGAGATTACATATATATTTATAATACTTCCAAGACAACCATTTCTAGATTTTTTTTTCTCAAACTCAGTACATATGGTTTATATTTTTGTCATTATACATATAAATCATATGTACTGAATTTGAAAAAGAAAAATAACAACTACTGAAAGTGAAACAAACCTAGTTTGAGAAAAATAAAAAAGATAATAAAACTTAACATCTTTTTGCAAAGTTTTACTTCAATTAACTACTTAAAATTTCATAACATATCATAGTTCTTTCGTTTATTGAAGAAGAAATGTTATTAGAAAGAGAGGAGAACATTACAACCCTTCTTTCTCTCATAATTTTTATCCCTTTTGTTCTGTATAACAATAAAGAGCTCTCTCGATTGTTTATTGCTATCAAAAAGTGATATACTCATGCCAAGTCCAAGGCAGAATTCTAATAATTTAAGATAACTGATAAACTAATCACCAAAGAAATTGTGCATTGAGGGGAAGTGAAAAATGTGATACAGAGTGTCATCATAGTGAACAATGACATAACTTGCATAAATTTTAAATACCTTTGAAGTAAGCTCCATCTTTTCAAGAGCACTGACAATTGAAGGAACTCTAGAACTGCATTCTGGATGTGACTCCTGCTAGCAATAACAATTCCAAACTACATTGAGAGAAACATCCAAGTTTTTAGAAAAGATAAGAGATCTATCAGAGGAACTGGGTGTTGGGATAGGTGCTGAAGCTATCACCAGAATGATATAGTACTAAACATACCTGGTTATGACCCAACGCTGCAGCTACACAATAAATCACTCGCGCATCACTTAGCTGTTGAAATGAAGGTAGAATTTGATCCTTATCTGAACTAAATGAGCAAGAAATGGAAGCTCCAATGCACTTTGAAGAGTATTTCCTCCTTAAGGTTAGATGGTTCTGTAAACATTTATGTCCTACAAAGATACTCACACCCAAACCATTTTGGATGCCTCTCTTGCAAGAATGACCTTGCACCACAAGCATCATATTTCCTAAAATAAGCATAAGTAAATCATTTTCTGTTGAGAATTATACATCATGAAAACCGCATCAATTAGATTAAAAATCTGTATTGTCAAAGCAGACAAAAACTTTCTGGCCTTCATGCAGAAAAAACAGGCTCGTACCACTGAGTTGGTTCATTCAAAGAAATGTTTGCCATATAGGTGGATCCTCGAGCTTGGTTTATTCGACACTATTGAGCTTGAGCTCAATTGAAGTTTGATTTCGGCATGAGCTATGCTCAATATTATATTATATTATATTATATTGACCCAGGCTCTGAACAAATAGACCTCAAATTGCTCATCAACAGGCTCAGCTTAGCACCAGACCTGTTAATGTGCATTGTGCATTGCCCAAAATTTTTGACATGAGAAATTCATCAATCCATCAAACAGAATATAACTAAAGAAAAATCAATTTATCTACAATAATATGAACATAAGGACAACTACAAACAAATTCCGACTTCAATAATTTAGCCTATAAAATCAATATATCCAGGGATTTTCATATTATTTCCAAGAACACAAGCATAAAATTATTTTTGGGGTCCTCCAAGGAAATCTGTTTTCCTTTTCCACACGCATGTTTGCTGACTGGTAGAATATCATTGGATAAAGAATCGAATTCAAACCACAACAAGAATGACTCCAAGCATTTCGTTAACACGAATAACAGTTGATTCATCAACATCCATAGAAATTTAACACAATTGCTAACAATTTTAGAACAAAAAACCCTGAAAAATCGAATAATCAGCACACCCAGATAAGTAACCATATGAAAAAAGAAGCAAATTATCAACTTAGCGTGTAGAAAAACTCAATTTTCCAACAATATATGAATACAGTTACAAATAGATGAATATGTATAAAAAGAGAGTACCGGTAGCAGAGAGATGAGGGAATGTTTGGAGTTCCATGGAAACGAGTTGAGTGGCAGAGAGTCGGATAGATTTGCTTACAAAAAAAAAAATTGATCTTTTGAATGCTGCTTTGCTTTCGTGGGCGATTCAGAAACGAAATATCTGGCTCAATATGTTTATTGGGTCTTAAGGCTATGATCCAGCCCAGTTATGTATACGTCGTCGTTTTACGTGTATGAACAAGAAAAAGGGTGAAAATGACGAATCTTAACGAATTTTATCCAATTTTGATAGCAATAATAATTAATATAAAAATTCTATTAAATCATATATGCTAAATTGTAATACAATTTTATTTTAATATTATGAAAATTTGTTATATCAAATAGGAATATTTCAAATTTATGAAGTGAATTTTTTCAATAAAAAATGTACATATTTATCAACTAAATGATATATATAAATTAATTATAACATAATATAAATAATATTAAAATCTAATTTAAATATATAATTTTATGTATAGAAAGAGATGTATCAATCAATAACTAATAATTTACAAAGCGAAATAATGTTGTATTCGTATAAATTATAGTAACTATATTTTTATATAAAAATAAAAAAGAATAAATTATTAACTCAATGTGTTTCATATCTATATATATATATATATATATATATGAAAAGAAGTAAATCCAAAAAATGGATAGGGCAGAAGGCAGGTTATTTAGTGTTATGGTGTATTGGTCTGGCTTCCTCTCATCGTTGACATATGCAGAATGGTTTCAGTGGGATAATCAACGCATTTGTAGTACTCGATTCCTTTATATATATATATATATACACATATATATATGTATGTATGTGTATGTATGTAATTATCATTAACAATATAAAGGAATTGGATAATAATATAATAAAGATATTGTGGGTTAATAGAATATATATATATATATATATATATATATGAATGAATGCACTGTTTTATTGTTAAAAATAATAAAAAGAAAAAATGGTGGTGTAGGTTCACGGGGTGTTTGGAGAGAGAAGGAAAAAAGAAGATGAAGAAGTTGGCAATGAGTTGTACTTGTGGGCCCCATCGTGGGCCCTCCGTGACCATACACTCAATGAGAGAAAGAGGTGTTCACGGGCGTTATATATATTTTAACTTATTATTATTATATTTATATTGGTCAATATGTATTAATAAATATATTTTTATTTTTTATTAATATAATTAAATAATTAAGTCGGATTTAGATTTGATAACATATAAATTTTATGTATTTCAAATTTATTCACCGTTTAAAATGAATTGAAATATAATTAATCTCCCAAAAATTTTGAACAATTAATCGAGAAAACAAATACGTTATTTATTATTATTTTTTTTGTTGTTTAAAAGGATGAAGTAAAATAATTTTCTGAGGGTTTTACAATATAACAAAATTTCTAATTTTAAAATTAAGTAGAAAATATTTTTGAGTTTTTAGAATAATTATTAAACAATTATTTTTTAAAAAACTATTCATTTTAAAGTACTTTTAATTTTATGTTTATAGTAATTTGTATAATAATTTAAAATTTAATAAATTTTCTGAAATTGGAAGTCACTTCAAATTCGAGCCACCATATATTAAAAAGAAAATTCTCACTTTTTTCCCCATCCACATAAAAGATTTTGTAGCACTTAATTTTTATTCATTAATAATATATTAATTATGTCAAATTCATCAAATATATTTTTACATAGTTTATAAATTTTATATAAATAACAAAATATAATATATTGATTTTGGTGGCTCTTAGTGAGTGAGGCGGGGTGGGGAAAGGAATCCAATCACTATTCCCTTGTTCAATTATTGTTTAAACTAATTATTATCTCGTTAGTTAGTAAGAATTTACCTCCGTCACTAAAAATATGAGGTTCATCTTATCGTTAGATAATAGACAGAATTATTAAATTAATCTTTAAAATTTAACAGTTGTTATAATTTAGTATTTAATTCTTTTTTTTTTGTTGTAATTTCGTACATAATATTATTTATTTATTTTATTTTTTAATTAAAAAAAGTTAAAATAATTATATCACATTTGAATATCTTTAAAAATTAATTTTGGCTAATTAATAATAATAACATGATTTAATTTTTAATAATAATAATAATAGTTCATTTTAATTTTTTTGATTTTTTTTTTTAGAAATATGAATTTTGAATGAATTTAAAAATAATTTTAGAAAATATGATGAAACTGTAAATAAAATGAGAATATGTTTAAAAGAAAAATTTAAAAACAATGGTCAAATCGCAAAAAAAAAAAAAAAGAAATACGGCCACGTGAGATGACTACGTCAGCAGCACGGTGAATCAGAACATGCCGCGTGACGGACACGCTAGCACAAGTTCAATGTGGGAGCCACGCAGGCGATCCGCATGCCCGGACGATCCAACGGCCCATGCTCACTACCGCGCATACGAACGACCCATATCCATTCCTCTATTAGGCACGATCGAACACCACACATCTTCGATCGGACAACCCAGATCCATTCTCCTATTAGGCACGATCGGACGATTGAAGAGGCACCACGCGGACTCGAATAGACGGCCTAGATCGAGGGAAGGGAAGTATTTAAATGACTATTCCACTAAAACTTTAACCTTAGCCGCATGCCTATTCGCCAGAGAAAAAGAAGAAGGGTGGCCGGAGGAGAAGCCCAGCCACCAGCGCCGCCGCACAAAAGACCCAAATCAACATTAGTAAGTGCAATTTTCTCCCCCTCGTCTTGTTTTTCCAATCTAAGCTACCCAAAATACTCTTAAATGCATAAAAACCTAAGAAAAAGTCGTAATTTGAGGAAACAAAGGGCAAAGCTCGCCTGAGCCGCCGCACCAAAAATTGAAAAATGCTCCAGTAAGTCGCATCCTCTTCATGTTCACTCTGTCTTCCCCACCCTTTAACCACATTACCTGTTTTCAATGCAAGGTGACCAAAAAAGCCACGAGCTGCGAAGGAGGAACGATAGAGCCAGACAGAGCCGTCGCACCGGAGATTGAAAAACACTAGTAAGCCTTGATTTTTTTTTTTTTACTTTTTCCACCAATAGACACCTCCTAACCACGAATTGAATAGGTTTTTATCGAGAACCGACTGAAACCAGCCTGACCAATAGGAGGAGTCACCGAAAAAAGGAGGACTAACATGGCGGCGCAGTTGCACTGGAACCCTAACATGACCCCCTAGTGAGATTTTTGCTCTTTTGGTCGTTTTTCATGTATTTTCACGTTATTTTAACGTGATTTTTGATTTTAACAAAAAAAATTTAAGAAATTTAAGAACCGGGAACTATCAAGAAATGTAGTGAAAAAGACAGTGTTCTAGATACCGACCCAGGGTAAGAATCTCTCACTCATTTTTCCTATTTGGTAAAATTGAAACTAAATTGATAAAACAAAAAATTCTGTTAATATACGGTCATCTAATTGATTAAAGTACAAGTTGTCAATGGAGTAAGTAACTAATAAGTTTGCATCTGTTGGAGTTTTAATTGCAGTAAGAATCCCTACAATTATTATTATGCTATTTTGTTCACTGTACTCTTCATTTTAATATGTTTATTTTGAATTCTATGGTGAATGCAGTCAGGTCTCTCTATACATATTGCCCTGTTATTCCATTGTGCGTTTAATTGGCTGTTATCAGTAAAATGCATGCTTATTTCATGTATTTCCCTACAATATGAACTCATGTTGTTGAAATATAGATATACGAGCCTCGTAGGGTTAAGTAGCAAGTAAAAGAGAGCATATGCATGAATTAATAGTGTTAAATAAAAAGTACTTACCAGGTGTTTTGGGAAAGAGTGTACGGACTCGATATATAGGATAAACTCTACCGTGGATGTTACTCTTAGTCGAACGGGACTGAGAAGTCTAATACTGGAAGAGATTAGGAATTGTTTTGATTACACTTATACCAGACGAAGTATTGAGGTGATTGTGTATTTTGGCGCCCATTACCGAATGGAGTTTGAGAACGGTCATTTAATTGTAAAATGAATGTTTATGTCTATGTGTAATGGGGACCTCTATGGATCCCAAGCGACACCGGTAGGCAAGTTAAGGGTGAATGAGATAAGAATCTAGTTTTGGGAAATAATAAAAGGTTAATTGTTGTATGTCATTAGAATGTGTATTGTAGATTACTATTTTGATTCTTATATTTACAAATGATATTTAAGAACTTACAGGTGAGTTAAGAAAATTAACGCTTTCAATTAAACGAGTTTTATTAAAAATGAGCTCTATTAGTTATTTTACGATTTCTATAATGTAATTTCCTAAATTTAATTTTAATTTAATTTAAATTTTTTTTATAAATATAATTTGTTAATTTTTCAATTTTTAATTTTATTTAAAGTAAAAAAAGAAGTAAAATTGATAAAGGATGCATTTGAAAGCAATTTTGGGAAAAATGAGTGAAATTTTGGGTTATGGATGTATTTTTAAAAGAAAAATCAGAAACCAAGGGTCAAAACGTAATTTTAAAAAAATTATCATGTAGGATGCTCGGTCAATAGCCCCGAAGAACCAGGACGCGCCATGTGGCAACGAGCACTGGCCCAATGCCACGCGGGTGATCTGCGTGCTCGCGATCGAACGACCAGATTCGTTCCTACACGCACGGACAGCCTGGATGCGCTCCCTCCCAAACGTGATCGAACGGCCAGATTCAAACACGATCGAATGGTCCAAATTAGATCGTGATGGACGGTCCAAATTGAATCGCGATGAACAGTCCAGATTTACTTCATATTTAATCGCGATGAACGGTCAAGATCAAACGCGATAGACAGCCATATCAAAAGTGGACAGATATAAATAACTCACATTCGCATCAAACTCTAACCTTAGCCGCCAGAACCCCTCGCCGGAGAAGAAGACCTGGCTACCGGGAAGGAGCCGCCACCACCCGCCGCCGCACCAAAACCCTTTCCGACTGCCAAAAAAGGTAAAAACTTTCTCTTTTGCTTGAAATTCAATTTTAAGCTCGCCCATGGCCAAATCGGAGTAAAAAGACTGGCCAATTAGTTAGAAAACACTGATGAAGCTCGATAGTGCTACCATGGGGAATTTC